ATTGGCTGATTGGTCACCTTTGTTGTTCCGATCAATTTATCTCAATGGTCAGCTGACGTTCATTGAAGACAATTCTTCCCCCAGACCACTGTTTTTGGGATTGAAAAACTTTCTCACTCTTTTAGGACCACGCAGCTACAACCGACCTGTCAAGGAGTTATGCTGAATTTGAGAACCTATGCTCTCAGACTGGTGTCGTTCTAAGTGATGATAAAGGGGATGATGGTGATGACGACGATGAGGAGGAGGAGGGAGATGTTTGTGGTGGACATGATGACGAGACTGTTGACGATTCTACTAATAATAATAACAGCACTAATAATGGGTGATGATAAAGGGGAGGTGATGACGATGATGAGCAGGAGGAGGAGGAAGGGGATGGTTGTGATAGACATGATGACGAGAATGTTGACGATTCTACTACTAATAATAATAACAGCACTAATAATGTGGATGATGGTCACAAAACTCGGCTGCATTTCCGTAGATACAGTATTTCGGACCAAAAGTTCGGATAATTCCAAGTCTCCAAAGGGCTTCTCCGATCTGTGTTCTGCTCAAAGGTTAACTTGGTAACTTATGGACTTGAACTCTCCTGTTCTTGTGCTCGGTGATGATGTCACTTGATTTGTTGCTATGGTGACCTGTTTCTGATTGGGCTGTGGATTACAGCTTTGCATGAACCGTTCAAATAGGTTAATCAAATATGCTGTAGGACACCAAGGAACTCCACAGAAGCCCCTTCAGTTGCGGATTATGGAAATAAATAATCTCTGGTACCACGAATGTCTGTACATCTCTGTCAGACACATACTGCCGCCCCCTACCTATTCAACTTTATTCAAACAGATCAGGACAGCTGTACTGAACACAGTATATCATAAGTGCAATGCCAATGCATATATTGGATCTCCGTGACTGCCACAGAGAGGCATGAACAGGTTTATGATAAACATGGATTTCACTGTCTGCAGGTGTATTACAGTGTGTCAGATGACCCGATACAAGCTAGCTCTTGATAACTGTTTCCTGTAGAAACAAGGAAATTCAGATTTTGACCCGTCGTCACATTGGCAAAAACCTGTGCTCTGAACAGATGATGGATAGTCACTGAAGGCTGAAAGATAACTTTTACTCGAAACATACGGCCACAAATATCATGCAGTGGTGTGTAGTTGAAAAATCACGGAAGGCATGGTTAGTGTGCGCAGATTAGCTGTTTGTAAAGCAAACTGAAATTACTAGCTAGTAAGACCGACAACTAACAGTTCCATTGTGCTGGAATAAAAGGCAAGCTTTGCATGTTTCGTTGAAAACAGCTCTGGGAGGTGAAAAACGGCCACTATAGGGGTTCTTTTGATCCAAGGCTCGACTGCATCTCATAAGCATTATCCTTTCCCCAACCTGTTATTCCCCGTTCAGAGGACAGCAGGCAAAAAATAAACTGGAAATGAACTTCAGCACTGAGTCCACTTTAAAATACTCCAACCGTGATCGGTACCGATTCGGGTGAACAGATTGCGCGCTCCGTGTAACATTTGTCAAGGTTGATCAGTTAAACAACGTTGGTTTTAGTTTTTTCATAGCTCAACGTTTCGACCACCATGGGTGACATACGTCACGAACTGGTCGGAATCACAAAGGCCAAGAGAAGCTAGGATTGACTGGTATCTCTATGGCTGTGTGGTCAACCTACGAGTGGCTGCACAATTGGTCTAGATGTGACAGTCAAATATGGCGTGAGTTGAAGCTGAGATAAGCAAGTCACGCTATTGGTTGGTTTCTTGCGGGCCCTGAAGACAGCAAATTTGGACTGCTCATCGTTCCGATTGATGCAGATAGGCTCTGTGTTTGAACAGCCGTCCTTCTTTCCTGGTGAGTTCACACCAAAGGGAGGAAGCACTGAACCGAGTTTTGCCCATATTAGAGTTCAACGGCTCTGCATACTGTTGGCGTGTCGGTGTCTGAATTCCATACATCTGAATTGGCGAAAATGTTCACTCTTTAGTGATGTAATTGGTTGGTCCGACGACCCAGTAATTGTTTTGGTTCTGTCGATCGCCTGTCAGGATTTTCCAGTCAGGTAGGGCCACGGATGCTTGAAATCTGCTGGACAGCTTTTGGATAGGTTGTCTCTAGTTACGGGATCGGTAGGTATCAAGCTGTGCGATTTGTCAAGGGTTCCGCACAGCGTCGTTCTGCATATCTTGTCAGGCCTGTTGGTGAATTGGTCAACAAAATATTGCGGTTTCCCACCAATGCGGCCAAATTTTATTCGGCCCCTGGAATTTCGAGGAATTTCGGGGCAGAAAGCGTGCGAGTCTTTGGTGTGCTGCAATACAAAATTTCAGTTGCCTGGTTGTTCATTCTGAGTTCCATTATTTGCTGACTAACGAAGGACTGTTACATTGTGCTCGATGCACTCTGCCGGGTGATTTCCCGCCTAAGGATTTTCAATATATCCAGATTTTGATTATAAACGGATTGGATGAGATGTGAATTTCCTGAAAATGGGGAACATTCAATGGACTTAACCAGGATATACTACCGTGGAAATGCATTAGTAGCATGAAACTAGCGCGGAAGTGACCGTATGCCGTTACATACAGCGAGGCGTAAACAATATGGCAATCACGCCAGTCAAACAACACTCCCAAGTCTCACTGTCTGGGTCAACTTAAGCCGTGAAGAAACTTTTCCAGCCAGTACACCCTTCAAAACAGTGTATACAGTCTGCTAATGCGAGCTAACCGACCGGAAGTTCGGTTGTTCGGACCCCACTTCGGCGTCTTGAGGGGTCCTGTATAGGATTGAACAACCTGGCAACATCCTCGTAGTTCCTTCGAGTGTTAAATCAGCTAGGCGCCGAAAGCGTGTTACAGCTGAACGATTATTATTGTTGTTTATTAATATGGTGTTGGAAGTAGGGTGTCTTGACTAATCTGTGGAACAGTTCGATGGGTAACGCACTGAAAGAAAGCAGAATTTAATCGGCGCATCCAGTGTAAAAGTTTGCCGGCGACTTTCGATCGTAAGTATTGGTGTTATGGCTTCTTGGTCACAACCTAGGGTGATTGATTATAACAAGATCTGAACAGCTGTTGAATCAGTTGTGTACAGTCTTCTTCATTCCGGCTACCGCCCGTTTCTGATAGCATTTAGCTCTTGGTGTTCTCCACACTGACTGTCAGATGAAACCCAAGGTCACTTGAAAAGTAGAAGAGTAAAACAATTTTAGAATCAAACAGTTTCTCCGATAGGCGTAGCTGACGCATGAACTACACGAAAGTTAGGTTATTCTTTCTTATGAAGCTTTTTCTTTCTGCACTGACTTAGTATTTGAGCAAAAACTGGTTGGGAGAAGGCATTCTATCCAACTGTACCAAAGTTTTGCATTCTCACTGCGTAGTATGAAACGATTACAGGAAGGAACATTGTTCTGACTCGACTCTGAAAAATTCTCCCAACTTTCGATAGAGGTCAGTGCGCTGGAAGATGGTATGATCATGAGCTAAATTCAGATCGATAGTCATCATATGAAACTGTAAGTGTGATTGTAAATGTACAAGCTGTGGTTGTGCGGTTCATGTGAATTTCTCAATGCACTAGTCAGGTCTCCAAATTTCTAGACAATGTTGGTCACATGAACGTAAATCAATGTGCCTGGCATGCGGCGGTACGTATAGGAGAGCAAGTTGGTCAGTGAATTGGCAGAGAGAAAAAGATTGGCTCCGAGACGAAAACCTTGCCACATTTTAATGTGAAAAAATGATCGTGGCTTGTGATGATCGCAATGAAGAGGTTCAGAAAGGAAAATTAACGAAGAGCAAAATCACGTTGATCGCAAATAGTGAGTGCCAGATGTAAACGGGCTATGTTGGATCATTGTGTTATCTACCGTGGACTGACAGTTTCTAACCAGTGGTAGTCAGCGTGCGCCTATCAGCTTTGCTAATCATGAAGTTTTGTTAATCCATTTAGGTAAGGGGCTTAATAAACTCTGGTTGTCTGATCCAGTGCACGTGCGGTTACTGTGAAACGCATCGACAGTTGGAAATGAGGCTGTTACAGAGTGGGGTGAGCACGTTTTCCTCCTGAATATGTCAAAACATCAGGACATTTTATAACTCCTAACTCTGCTCTGCACTAAAATCATTCTACCTGCAGAACTTCTACTTTGAGGTATCTAGTTGTGATCCTATCACGTCATCCTAGTTGCTCTCTTCTCACATCCAGACTGCCATGAGTAGGATAAACACGGAAACGGGTGTTTCCGTTGACATCATCCATAGTTTTGTTAGTGCGCTTGTTCACTGTCGCAGGATTTGTTATCCCAGAACGATAACTGCTGCTCAAACACGCTCCTAAGTGCGGAGCAATCTTGGCTGGCTTCACAACAAACAAGCATTCTGGTGCTTGATCTGGATTCATAAACAAATTTCTCCAGACAGCCTTAAGCTTTTTCATCGATTGCTTACAAAACAGATACCTATGAGATGTCTTTGTCCAGAGTCCTTGAGTGACGTGATAATTTGATGCTTATGTTGCTTCCTAGTTCATCCTACTCTGACACATGATGACAGCTTCGCAACTCGTCTAGCTCTTTCGATCATCCGATGACGGCGATGTGATGCCGTCGACAGTTTCCAAATCTCGTCACCTTTACTTCAAACTGTGCACCCTCTGCTGTGACTGGAATTGGGCGGGTGTCCGTTATCATTTACCAATCGAACGCACTGTTCTGAACTTCATTTTCCCACGCTGAATGGTGATCATGATTAATGTACAGTCAATCTTGAGTGAATTCTGGAGCTTTTTATGGCAGTAGAAATTTTTTCGAAACCACGGTTTCTGGGTCTTCCGAATTGGATAGATATCCCATTTACAAATTGCTATATTGATCATTGTTTGGTCGGTTGCTTCCGGTAAAACGGTTGGACAGAATTGCGTTATTCGGTTCATTTGCTATAAAACGTCAACAAAACTTTCTTTCTAATCAGGGGAGCAATGGACATGCCTTGTTCTGGATACAGTAGCCATTTCTTTAACCCTGATTGGAGTTATACTCATGATCGCTGCCCTGCTCACTTTGGTCGTGAAACACAAGTATAAATTGTACAAAGCCGTGCTGAGTTTCAACAGCATCGCATGTAAGTTGTGTTACTGTTGTTTCTGTATTCTAACTTTTACTCTTGAGCAGACACGTTTGTCCCTTGCCCGTTCCTCCAATTTAGAAGTCATCCGCTGAACTGTACTCGTTATCTCTCTCAGTTTGGGCGGTTTTTTTATTTCAGACATTGTCAAATCCCGTTTGGAAGTGTATATAAGCAGATCCAGTTAAGTTTGAATGTCTATTCTCGGACAATCTCATAGAGTAGCTTTCTTAGTAAACGTCTTATAAGATAATTTCATGATGGGTTGCCTCTAGTTACTTACAGAATTAACTAATCTGATGCTAATATAGCATCACACTCAGACCTAAAGCGTGAGTACGCTTAATTTAAGGATAAGTTGTTTTGAGTCGTGGATGGCGGAACGAGTGAAAGGGCTCACCAGATTCTCTCGAATTCAGTTATAGTCAGCTTCTCATTTGACCTTCATCCCAGGGAATCAGGGTTAGATGGCCATATTTCGACCGTGGTCTTGTGAATGCTGTGAGCGCATTTGGAGGTATCAACAAATTTAAGTGAATTTATCACAGATACTGATGTATTGTTCCAACTAACCGTTGATTGACAACTCCATTTCACTTATAATAGCCTTTGAAGAGGAGCTGGGTTTGCGATTTCTCACACTTATATTGAGTGGGGTTCGCCAAGAACGCTGGATCAATCCCACTGTTTATGTCTCAATTCGGCGTGATGCTCAGATGTGTTTTTCGGAAGGTAGGTTGCCGGGAAAACGTGGTTTATTATAACCAGGGTGTCACATAACCCGCGCTAAAGGATTTGCGTTCCGCTCTGAACGTCTTAGTCTACTGTTTCTGATTTAGTCCACAAACCACTTGGTACTCTGCTTGCATATTCGCTTCTTCTGGGAAAGACAAAGAAACAAGCAAACGTGTTTGTGTCAAAGAGGACGAACTACTTGCGCTGCTGTTAAATCATATATCGATACAGAAAACACCGTTTGGCAGAAAGAGCAATATTCCACAAAACTGTCATTTAAGCTCGGCGAATAATTCAACAGGCACCTGATCGGTCGTCACCTAACGCACCCAAGCTACAAAGAGTTGGGCACATTTCCAACCCCGGTATCTTGAAATTCGGTCCAGCTAGACCCACAAGCACCCTTGTCGCGTCTTTCTAGCTCGCTTGATCACGAGCGGATGATCATCAGTTTGATTAATCCGCACCAGGACAGGATACGGCACCATAATTAAGTATATTTCACACGACATGTGAAACTCCCACCTGAGAAGCCGTGTCTCAGGAGGCACAATGAGATGTGGACCCCATGTTGAAAAAAATGAGTGTAGCAATGTCCTGTCTATTCACACCGGTGATCGGTCACTTAAGCAAACGGTTCAGGTGAGATAACGCATCTGGAATCCGTGAGATGCGCAGTGTGGACGATTTCCAATACGGATGAAACGGCTGTACAGCTCTTGACACGGACTGACCCCAATTACAAGAGGAAAGGTCAAATGAAAACTCAATAAATCACCTCATCATACTACGTAACTACTTTGACAGCTGGAACATTGTACCAAATGAAGCATGCTATGTTCTATGTACAGCAGATCCGGTTGAAGAGTGTCATAAATTGGAGATTTATATGAGTTTAATTTTGGTTTCCGGCTGGTGCTAAGTTAATTTGCAAATGAAAGTTTTACACCACTTAGTCGACAACCGTTACTCTTTAAAAAAAAACAGAAATTTGGTTTTTATGTGTGCTTTTCAAAGTATTTCACTCGTGCAAAGTACTGGGTTAGGAATACACCTTGAGTGTGTCGAAATATTGGTAGCTCAGACAAATTTATTGATTGTTAATCAGGTGTTTGTTGAGCTTACTTAGTCGACACCGTTACTCTTTAAAAAAAAAACAGAAATTTGGTTTTTATGTGTGCTTTTCAAAGTATTTCGCTCGTGCAAAGTACTGGGTTAGGAATACACCTTGAGTGTGTCGAAATATTGGTAGCTCAGACAAATTTATTGATTGTTAATCAGGTGTTTGTTGAGCTTAGCAGTTAACTTGTCAAGCTCGGTAACTGGTTAGTGATGATGTCTCTTATGGTGACGAAGCGCTTGCATCCCTGTTGTCAAGCTCAGTGAAAAGATCAACAGTCGTCTGATTGCTTCTGACTCTCTGATTTGCACAGATTCACTAAACTGGCTGGCTTTTGGCTCGCCCCTTACTTAATGGTAAATTTGTCAAGCATATTCGATGTCCTTAAAACAATCGTATTGGTAATAATTGCAACCGTGTCTGTCAGAATAAATTGTATTCAGTTAATCTATTAACTCACAGAATGGGTCGATCAAAGCGGATGGCGAGTACGACTCTTGTAAAGAGAAACCACTGATCTAGAGTGTCAAAGCAGCATTCCGCATTACCCATGACGAAGTGTACGATCGTTTCGGACAGCTCAAACCATACTCTTCTCCAAAATTGACCTAACTAGGGGGGAGTTTGTGTACCACTCTCGAAAAGATTCATCAGTTTTCATATCTCTGAGGGTATGACTTTTCTTAGCGAACCCGAGTTTATATGGGAAGTCAGCTGCTATAGACAGGCTAGGATTCGCAACTGTGATAAACTGCGGAAAATGGGAGCAAAGACAAGCATGCTGGTGGGGAGACGTACGTCAAAGGTCTAGTTACGGAGACGGTGTTGACTTTAATTCGACTTGAATTGTCGTTCATATGAGAGGACTTTTCAATACAGCTCAAGGCTTTGTATTCGTAAAGTCCTACCAACTTACTCTCGGTACCACTGCTTACATGTTCGACATATTAAGATCGGTTAAAGTTTACTTCCCCCCCCCATTATTTTCGTCTTGATAGACTCATGCACGCATGTGTGTACGTTGATCACTGCTTTCTCCATTCAAGAGAAATTTCGTTTGAAATTTGTTTGTTACAGGGTTCAGTATGTTGACAAACGTCATCCTATTTCCCGTCAGTTTCTACTACCGAACAAATCACAATGCACTACAGTTTGGTTACAAAGATGACGAGGAACCAGAATTCATGGTCGGATGGTCCTATGTGGTTTGCACGTGTGGTTTGCTTCCCCTCCTGCTGGCAATCGTGCTTTTGGCTCTGGATCGTAAAAGCGAGGAAATCATATACCAAGAAACCATATTCCAAGACTCTGTCGCAGTCGCCGACTGCAACAATGAGTGAATTTTTTCCAAAAGGACCTATTGGCTAGTGCTTTCCTATTGGTTTTGCCTTATAGCTTTCACGATATGCAAATGAACGAAAATAACAGCATGTCTCCCCCTCTTTCGAATGTTACATTATTACCGTTATTGTTGTTATTCGCATTGTTGTTCTTGGTGTAACGGAAATTGAATGCACCTGACTGATTTCCTGGTCGCTAGTGCCTACTAGAGCTGTACTTTCGAGGTTGCGGCGAACGGCAGCAGTGCGCCGACGGGGGCACAACGGCAAAGTGGGCTGATAGGTCAATGGCAAATCCCTGTTCCTGAATGTGTTGGACGTTTATCACGTGTGATCGGTTGTCAATTGCACACTAAATGGAATCACTGATTTGTTATGCCGAGTTCCTCCTTACGAAAAGTAGTCGTGTAGTTAAAATCTCTTTTTCACATTTACTGGAACCTCTGTATGTATTTGGTTTCAAAACGCGGAACAATTGAGTTTTTGTGATTATGTTGTACTTGTATGAATCCGCTCTTTTCCACAGGTGTTCTATTTTAAGGTGGACTGTGGAATGTGACCACAAATCTCAGCGAGCTCAGACGATGATCAAGCAGAAGTGTTATATCAGTCAGACACCAATTAGTTAAGCTTAGCCAATTGACATCCGAGGACGTTTGGTTCCGAATCAGCTTGTGTTTCCACATTTTTTTAATAGTCGTTTCACTGTTATACCGAGTAGCAGGCAATTTACGGTCATTGGCGTATGACTTTCTCACTTTCAGATGTGGTCCATCTCTCGTAGCTTAGCTCAACTAGTGTAATTTAAGGCCGAGGCACATTGTACTATGGATGGGATGACGGCATTTCATGTTTCGCCACTGCACGGTGTACACGCCCCTATTCCTGTTCGCTCCAGAGTTACTGGGCCGGTAGTAATCGGCCTATCCGTGGCCGTGGCATTCATGCAAACGGACATCTATACCGCCTCGTGTCAGAGCTGGGAAGTAGTGACAACTAGCGAAATAACGAACAGTTCTTGGTCATTAGTGGGGCTCATCCTTTCCCATGGGTAATTTAGGACAAGCCCAAGGCTATCCGTAATACCACGTGTCCTGCATTAATATGGGTGCGTTTGACTGACGTAAGATACTCACTGTTTAACGACGCAAAAGTGTAATAATGGTGGAACATGAGTGCCCCTAATTCGACTGAATACCAGACCACATTCTGGAAGGATTAATCGGATCACACGCCAGCACGTCATGCTGGTTGAATAATTATGTGTTCACATTTCCATGCCTCTGAGATTCGGGTCCTACTGGTTGTTTATTCACTTTTAGCGCTACCCGGGAGATAGTCGCATCAGGCAAAACGTAGTTAGTCAATTGAAATATCGACGATTTGAATGAGATGGTTTCATGGACTCGATGAGAACCTTACAGCAGATAGGTTCCGGTCACATGTCCTGTGTTTACATATTTCCGCGGCTCTTTGGCTTCTGTAGTGCAGTGAACGGATACACAACGCATGGGAATAGTCGGACGGCGTTAAGTCAAGTGTCATTTTCGGCTTTGTTGACCTGGTGCCCGAAAACAGGAGGAGCGCCAAAATAGTTGGATTAACACTGTAGCATCAAGTTCACAAACGTATTAACGTGGACAGAATTCGCGTATGCAAGTAGAAGGCTGGTTCATGCAGAATTCAATAAGAGAGAAACACAGTAGTGCAACATACCTTTAAGGCGTGCGCAGGTTTATGGCATATACGTCTTGGAACTCCTGTGTGTGTGGGTGTGAGAGCTGTTTTGATGAGGCGAAACGTCGAATATCACCATTCAGGAGTAAGAATATGTTTCGTTAGAAGAACTTTAAGTGGGATGCATTTGAAGCCGTTACATCGGTGTTCACGTTTTCCAAATACAAGATTATACAGGCAGAACAAAGTACTGGAGTGTACTTAACAGAGTTTGCTGAAAACTTGTTTCTGCTGAGTTCTTCTTCCCTTAAACATAGCTTCCCTGTGCCAGTGTTTACTCACAATACTTTCCCGCTCAAGAATTGAAGCAGCAGAAAACGCCACGTGCATGCATTGAAAAAAAAACAGACGGTTTTCCTGCTATCTGGTATTGAGCAGTCCAAACATTCGTATGGCAAGCGAATTTATTTTTAGTGCTTCACCAAATGCCTGAATACCACACAAAGAAATGACGCGCAAGTTCAGGTTTATACAACCGGACAGCAACAGTCAGCTACCGATAATAGCCGACGTCTCATCGATTTAGGGTGGCAATCCATGGAATGCAGTCAACCAATCGGAATGCTTGATCGGTCCGACTGGTCAGCTGACCAGATGGGACTAAGTAGGCTCAGATCGCGAGAGTCGGCGATTCCACTGATCCACCGTTAAGAGAAGGTGAATAGTGTTCGCGAATGTGTTCAGAGGGACGCCAAGTTGTTCTCTCAGAATGACTCCTCTACATTGGTAAGACACGAAAACACCAGGTGTCGGCTACCCTAAGCTATTCAGATGTCGGCTGTTATAACCAATTAAGGCTTCTGCTGTCCGACTGGACTATGACCACACAAAGATCCCAAACCGAAGATGTGTCTTGAAGAAACTCATCCATCCAGCCAATAAGACTACAATAAAGGCGTATGCCAACTAACCAATCATATGACAGGATATTAGATGGTCTTCAGAAACTATATAAACACAGCCAAGCACGGAGGAAGCATCCACTCAACTGTGCACTGATGATGTCTCCTCGACTGGGGATGAAACGTTCGCAAGCCAGTTGCCGAGCTCGGCGGGCAGATCAACGACCATCTGATCAACCGCCACCACCATTCATCATCCCCATCTACCAGATTCCCCCACCGCATCGATCTGTTAGGTAAGAACCACAAAAACACCGCGTCATTCGCTGCTGCACTATTTTGCCTACTCATGTCATTCTTCTGCACTGCATCTAGCCAGTTGAAGAAGCGTTTCAAAACGGATTGGTTCGCCATGTGGTCATTTAATATGATGTCATATGCATCCAGGTTCCTTAGGTGTTTGTGTTTTGTTTACCTATCTATCGAATTCCCCTACCGCATTGATCAGTTGGGTGAGAATAATAACAACACCGGAATGGGTGATAACAGATGTCCATCATAACGAAGTCGTTAGTTTGTGTTGTCTTCGACTGAACAAGAACAGATCAGTGAATAACATGTGAATCGATATGAGTCTCACCATGTGATTCTTCCGTGTTCAGGGGTGAACATGGAATATACAGTGGAAGAATTTTAGAACGAATTCCAGAACAGCACGATGTAGTGTCTAGTTCTCACGAATTTTCACGCAGCAAGCTTTTCGTTGAAACGATCTTGCTATCCGTTGTATTGGGGTACAACTGCAACTCGCAACTTCTCATAAGCTTCTTGAATGAGAGACTAACATGAACTGGTTTCTTAGTAGGCTACGTTGTTGACGCTTGTAGCGATCTCTTTTCTATACGGCCTCCTGAATAATCGCACGGACATGGCGATCTCAATTGCTCATCAGTTCATGGATATTCCTGTCCAACTTACCAGTCGATTAGATTTTGTCTTTGTTATAGCAGCAAGAAACTGTGTGGATATGTGTACTAACACGGTCGGACATTTTGGCTGACCGGTCCTTTAAATGCGCTTGAATGATCTAAAAACGCTGTAGTCTCCTCAGGAAAAAGCACTTTGTGGTACAGGTTAGCTGACTTCTCCCGGGAGGTGGCATAGCGAGCACGATCTGAATGGAGGTAAATATGAGCCAACAACAAACGCCGTGCAGTCCCCAGTCGGACACTCCTTCATCCCCTGGAACCTTGAAATTCCTCAAATAGGGAAACACCCCTAGACTAAAGCTCTCACCAGAACAAGGTAGTTTATTACAAATATGTCTGTTACGATATACTGGTTACTTGTAGCTCTGTACACACATTTTGCTCCAGCAGCAACATTCTGATGAGTTGCACGTGGATGAGCAAAGCAAATTCGTCAAAATGTTACTCTACTTTCACCGAGTAGTATTTAGTTGAATGACAGGCTATCCGAATGTTCAAATAAGTGAGACCATTTTGTGATCTTTATCTGTACATAGTTTAACGATTTCCAGAACAAGTGCCATCTACTCCTAACCAGCTTGCAAACTAGGAACTGTGCAGTTAACTGGCTTGTAGAGTTGTAAGGCGAGTATAATTTTTCTTGGCAATGTTTTGGAAATGGGGTGAATTCATTGGTAATTGACTAGGTGGCTGATGAGCTGTTCGCCGAGTTTGGGCAGTTGACCTACAGACGTTTCGTCATCTTTCGAGGAGACATTAGCAGCGTCGTATGGGGGGGGATGACGGTTCCCCCGAACAGTAACGAAAGGTCTGCAAGTCAACTGCCCGGTGAGCTCGGTGAGCAGATCAACAGCCACCTGATCGGATCGACTGGGTTTCTTCTGTTCTCTTGGTGGTCAAACTTGATTCTGGGATTTAATAAGAAATTTCCTCGTTCGACAGCGAGGCAAGTCAAGTCATCTGATTCCCAGAAACTTGGACACATA